GGTGCCTTGCGTGGAAGACTCGTTCATGCAGAGCAATGAGATGGCGTTGACATGGGGTTAGAGTGACAGCGCCCTGCAGACAGCACACGCTTAGTAGAATTCATCATTGCGTGGAATCGGTGAGGGGGGCAGGAGGGGGTGTCTCGCGAGATTCGGCGATGTTTGCGCGCGGCGTGTGTGTGTGTGTGTTGCTGTGTCCTGGGCGTGTGATTTTTTTTCCTAGGTCAATCAAGAACATAGGGCTCTAGTGAGCGCTGCTATTGGTTGATACAAATGACGTGCCTCAAACTCCTGTTTTATGGTGCATTCACTGCATTGTGACCCTAACCATAACCCTAAACCTAACCCTAACCCTAACCCTAACTCAAACCCTTTTTTTTTAATATATAAAAAATATGTTGTATTATAATTGTTATTAAATTGTTGTAAATAAATCATGTAAATATTTGCGTTAATTGGGAAAAAAATGGTTAAACGGATAAAGATAGAAAAATACAGAAAACAGGAAAATAATTAAAAAATGGATGGGATTCGATCCACCGACCTTTCAGACTTGAACTGCGTGCTGTACTCGCTCGGCTATTGAAGTATATTGGAGTTAAAAATTTTGTGTGTGCTATGAATATGACGACACTGTGACGTCATTGAGCGACGAAACAAGCTCAACCAATGGCAGTGCTCACTAGAGCCATGTCCTTGATTGACCTAGGGAAAAAATCACGCGTCCTGCGTCAGCTGTGACGATGGCGGTGTTGCCGCGAGATGGATTGCCATCGACTCGCGACGGATGTCTTATGAGATGTGCGTGAGGTATTTCAACGTGTTCACGGATAGAACACATCCTATAAGGCGGCTGCGTGAGGCGATGCATTTGAGGGGAGATTGAGTTCTAGTTAAACGCATAGGCGTCTATAATGTGTTTGCGCGCGTGCGTTCATATGTGCGTGCGTTCGTGGATACGTGCATGAACGCATGCTTTCTAGATCTGCGTGCATAGCGGTGTATGTGTAGTTTGTGCGAACATCTGCGCGCTAGCGTTCGTGCGTGCGTGCGTGCGTGCGTGCGTGTTTAGCGTAAAACTGGAGCACGATGACACTTTCCCGCACTCGCGCTCACTGCTTCGCGCGCGCGCACATCACTTCGTCTCAACGCATGAGCACACGCTCGTCGGCATCGCCAGGCAGCTTTTTCAAGTGTATCCAGCAGGGAAATTGTCGGCAGGGCAATAACCATCTAACTTCATCTGTGTGGACTGATTGATGCGCGGTTGCAGACGAATCTGGCAGCATGGGAATCTAGGCTTCATTTCTAGCCTAAGTCGATTGAAAGTTTAAAGTTAATTTTTTCAAAGTCGTTCCCATATTTTGCAATATTCTTGGCTGGCTCTGAACATGTTGCAGGTGTGCGTGCCTGGATAGGATTCTGTTCGACACGATTTAATTCGTTTACTACTTTTTCACGTTTCGTCTAAATGTGAGACTCTTGGGTTTTGCTTATGTCATCCATTTCATAAAGTGTGTTGTTTGAAAGTCTTTGAATCTAGAGAACCCTAAATCTTATGTTCTTGTCGTTTTATAAATCTTGAATCTAGATGGCAAATGCACATGTTATCGAATATTGTGCAACTAAATCTATAGCAATGGAATACACGATTATGATATACAATTTCCATCTAAATAGAACTTGTATCAGTCAATCCTTTTTCATTCTTTGTAAATCGCTGCATGCAGTTCGGAAACACAATGTTATGTACAACTGGTGCCAAGTGACAAGTCTCCAAAAAATATTTCCACTATCATATTTTACAAGGCTGCCCGGTGTTGGTGCTTGTGTTGTTGTTGTTGTTGCTGCTGGTACTGCTGCTGCTGCTGCTACCGCTACCGCTGCTGCTGCTGCTGCTACTGCTGCTGCTGCTACCGCTGCTGCTGCTACCGCTACCGCTGCTGCTGCTACTGCTGCTACTGCTGCTGCTGCTACTGCTGCTACTGCTACCGCTGCTGCTGCTGCTACTGCTACTCCTACTACTGCTGCTGCTGCTGCTACTGCTACCGCTGCTGCTGCTGCTGCGGCTGCCGCTACTTACTCCTGATGGCTGTTGTAGTGTAGGTGATAGTGGCGGAAGTAAATAAATAGAGATGTAGTATAGTATATGAGTATATATACATTATATATATATATATACTATAATTTGGCTAATCTTGTGTGTGTGTGTTTGTTTGATCAAGATGTTCTTCGTGATTTGTCACTCAATCGCGGTAACTGAAGATATAATCAGAATCACCACGTCTGGGAGATGGTTCTGGCTGAGACAAAAATTTAAAAAAGTTAAAAAGTTAAAAAAAAATTTTAAAAGTCAAAATCCAATCATTACGTACGTGGGAATTATGTCGATCGTCTTAAGACGCCCGCCGCCGTAGCGTAGTCGGTAGCAGCACGGTTTCATAACCCGAGATTTCGGGTTCGAATCTCAGCTGGGGGAAAAAATTTCACTTTTACTTTTTTACTCTTTAGTATCTACTTCTGTCACTTCAGCGTTAATTTTAAAATGTAAAAAATAAATTTTACTACATTCATTAAAAAATTGGAAAAAAATTACTATTATTATTATTTACTACTATTATTATTTTCATGTTCTTTATATATTTATATTATTTAGTATTGTTTGGGATTGGATGGGATGGGATGGAATGGGATAAAAGACGATGGGATGGGATGGGATGGCATGGCATGGGTGGCATGGGGTGGAATGGGATAGGATGACCCCCCCCCACAAGATATAATGGTCCGTAGTAATTAATTAGACTAATACGTTGCCTTAAATAAACTCAAATTTAAGAGATTATAGCTAACATTGTCTATGTGGTATCCAGATTTCTAGATACTGCGAAAACACTGTTACTAGCTGCGAGCGAGTGGAGAGTGGAAAGGGCATATAATTGAGTGATTAGCACGTTGAATCATTATTCTTCCAAATAACTGGCGCTGCTGTGCTTATGGTGTAAGTAATCGTGGAAAAGGGTTTCATCTGTGCCGATATTCGCAAGAATTCACGGAAAGAGAAAATTGTGGGAATAGAAGTTGGGAGACTGAGGGTGGAAACGCCCCCTTCATATGTCAAGAGCTGTGTCGGTTTAGTAGCATAGTCGCTTGGCATGTATTTTGATGTAGGTGATCTGTGAATGGTGATGCATGGTCAGCAGATGTATATTGTGATTACGTTGTCATTATTCTTACCTAAATGATGGGACGTACATATCAGAAATCTAGATACATATAAACAGCATTGTGTTATTTTTGGATCTTCTGTGATTCTTGAGTTTATTGAACGCGAGTGGTTTTAATTAATTAGCAGTATCTAGCGCGTATCGGCACGGCTAATATACGCAACGGGCTTATGGGAAAGTGTAAGAAAGTGTACAATTAAACTATTTACTATGTCGGAACGATTGAGTTTACATTTCTTAGTTTATTGAAGCAGATTAGTCTAATTAAATTATTGCTAGCGGACCATTGTACAGCGTATTGCT